CTTCATGTGATATGACTGATGATATGACTCTGACTGCTGTGTGGTTTTTGATTGATTAAGCTGTAATCTACTTTGGGATTTCACAGCTATGAATGTATCTCGATAGATTCTCAAACAGAACTATTGCAAATGATTAATGAGCTTTTGTTATTTAAAGGAATCCAATCATATTTATCACATTTTTGCTTTCATTTTTTTGGAATATACAAAAATTTGAAGCATGTTAAAGCCAACAGTGTTTGAGAGAGCCAACTCTATGTGCCTCCGAGCACAGTATTGTCATTATAAAATGTCCTTCAAGTTCCCTCTGAGTGCTGGCAATTTATCTTGAAAGCTGTTCATATTTTCTCTGGCGCATCCTTCCAAGCAGGAGGAAAATCAATGGCTAAGCTAAGTAATGAATTCCTATTGGCCTGCAGCAGCATGTGCACTGGCACTGCCACTGTGCAGTGGCAATGAGGGACTCCAAATAATGTGGTGGAAAACTATTTCACCTCTCAGGGATGAACCATATTTCACACTTTAAAGACCACTCTCCCCATGACATCCTTATCAATACAGCATGCTCCCTGATTTGGCGCTGGACAAATTGTCTTTTCTTACAGCTCTATTCGTCATTTCCTCTTCAGTTGAGTGGAAAAAAGTTTCATAACTGACAAGAGGAACATATTCTTTCCTCAGCTAGATTCTCCATTGAAGCCTTGTTTGACTGAACATTTTCCAAGGGAATGTGGAAACGAAGGAAGTGTTGGGCAAGTAGTTTTTTTTTGCATAACTGTTTGTCGGATTGTGTGGATTATAAAAGCCTATTCAGCAAGCAGCCTTACGGCACCTACACACGGTGGCGTGCATTGAAGCTTCAACGCTTCTGCCCATTCACTTTGAATGGGGTGACGTCACGCTTTGCCGAACTGCATTGTGGGAGCGTTGCTCGCTTCAAAAGTAGAGCAATGTTCTACTTTTGAAGCTTCGACGGAAGCATCAGCCAATCAAATCCTGTTAATGCAAATCTGCCAGTACAAGTGCTAGCCAATCAAACCGCGTGTATGCTGGGAGAGCCATATCGCAGGTCATTTCCTCATGTTCCAAAAAATGGAGGACAAAATCATTGTAGCGGTAGGGAATCACCCGGTGTTGTATGACCAGTCCCTGTTCACCTACCGGGATACAAACCGGAGATTTGATGGAGATGATCACAACGTGACAGAAGTTTTCAAAAACCGTTTATAGTCTCCGGTACTTTAAATCCAACGCCTACTGCATGCACAGCGTTAGAAAATCGGGCCTTCAAAATAACACATCCGAAACGGGTCCGCGACCCACTTTTGGGTCGCGACCCACCAGTTGAGAACCAGTGCTCTAGATCAGTGGTTCCCAACCTGGGGGGCGCCCTTTTTTTTTTTTACATATGATTGTAACGCAATACATGATTGTCGCTAAAAGCTTTGTCTCTACATTACAATCAAATATAAAAAAATGTGATTAATTAATTTTAATACAAATTCAAGTTAGTACTGTAGCTAATAAAGGCATAAAAAGACAGAAATTTATATTTTTTTCTTTAATAGAAATGTTCCTTCTGCCCGTAAAGTGTCCAACCCTGGCTTGTCTGGATAAGCGCATTTTTAAAACATAGTCATTGTCCATGCCGGTTTCAGTTGGATTATTTGTCAGTTGCTTCGATCAGATCGGTCTCCTCCATTTTGTAGATTATTTACGACTTTTGAATCCACAAAAACACATCGGCAAAATCCGGCTTACTTTGAGCATGTGTTTTAAACAGTTTAATCCCTTTGTGAATTGTTTCCACTTGCGCCGTCCTTTAATTTCTTCATTCAGCGGGAATTCAAATGAATGAATCCTGAGTCCAATAACCATCAAAGTCACTCCAATAGTGCTCCTTAATTACGCTTTCATCCTCCTTTAACAAAATACTTCACATTCATCCAGTTTGTGAGAGTGGTTGTAGCATTTTTGAGACTTTGAAAATGTAATTACCGCTGTTGCGGGGGGGCGCAACTTCCAACATGAGTCATTTGGGGGGGCTCTTGGGAAAAAAGGTTGGGAACCACTGCTCTAGATGAATGCTTAATGTCGCTTTGTGTCTGCTAGATGTATAAAACAAGCAAATTATAACATCTTTATGCTGCTGTCACATGATATGCAATTTGCGCACCGCAAGGTTGCTAACAGAGCCTTGTGACCAAAACAGCTGCCTAAGTTTTATCTCTTTGGTTTTATGTCTATGGTTATTTCCCTGCTAGCTTGCGCCACTACATAAAGCTGTTATCTGATTGGTTGAGCGTCAAAAGGAGACCAGAATGGTACTATATGTCAACGTTGAGATGAAACTCTAGTTTCATCTCAACAATTAGTTTTGTGTCATTAAGATCAGAGTTGGGTGTAACGCGTTACAAAGTAACTGTAATAATATCACTTTTGTCGGTAACGGAGTAGTGTAACGCGTTACTTTTATAATTTAGTAATCACACTACAGTTACTAACATTGCCCCGACACGCGTTACTTCGTTACTTTTATAAAATAATCACACTCACTGACAGACAAGAGGGGTTTCCGCCGCAGGTTTATATACATGTAGGCCTATGTAATCTGCGCGATTTGCGAGACCACATCTCCACGTGCAGTGCTGCATAAACATGGCTGAGTCTTTTCATCTGTAAACTCCCTCAACGGGCCGCTCGCTCTCTTTTGTTGATCGCCCTCTCACGGGTGAACAGTTCAATGTCCCGCTTCATTGTAGGAATTCTGTCTCTACCACTTTAGTTTGACCATCTCTGTTACTAAGTTATGGAATACTAAATAAATAAGTAATTAGATACCTTACCGTTACTGCGCTCATAAATAATGATAAGAATAATGCGTCTTGAACTGGTTTCATTAATTAGTGTCTTGACGTTTCACAGACTGTTAGCTTGTTGTGTGGCTGGTAGCCTATTTTAGAGCATATAAAAAGAAAGACTTGTGTTATGTCTTCCTTAATGCAATAGTAATTGGGGGTGCAAGTGGAGTCTCGCAGAGGCAAAACTGTGGCACGCACACTGTAGGTACGCCGCAGTCTGCGTGATCTGCCTGTAGGTAGGGGCGGGCCGGCCCTGCGAGTAAAGTAACGAGTAAAGTAACGAGTTACTTTATGTAGAGAGTAACGAAGTAGTGTAATATATTACTTTTTTTTAAAAGTAATATGTAATATGTAATATATTACTTGTTTTTAGTAACGACCCCATCTCTGATTAAGATAAAGCAACACTTTCTCAGAATCAAGCAAAACTAAGAGTTTAAGAGAAGAAAAAAACTGAGTCAAGCTAAATAAATGTAATTTCAAAAATATAACTATAAATTGCAAACAAATTATTTGTGTAATCATGTAAACTAAAAGTATTTTTTCTTTCTTTTAACACATATTTGTGTCCGCAGTTCTCTTTGCGTCATTCTTACGGGCCCTCCACACTACAAGCGTTTCAGGCGTAAAATTACGCCTCTAGCGCGTCTGCCCATTCACTTTGAATGGGGTGACGTCACGTCCGCTCACGTTTTCGCCGAACTGCATCACGGGAAGGCAAGCGTAACTTTGAGAGCGTCTCGCGCGTAAAAAGTTGAACAATGTTGAACTTTTTACGCACTAAACGCTCTCTCGGTTCCTGACAAGTGAGCGTAAGCCAATCAAATCCCGTTTCAGAAAATCTGACAGCTCAAGCCGTAGCCAATCAAAAACCGCGCATACGCTGGGAGAGATATCCTGAGATATCCCGCCGTTCATGTCTATATTTGAAATAAAATGGACGAGGTTATAATCGTAGCGGTAGCGAATCACCCTGTATTATTTGATGTGACCCTGTTCACCTACCAGGATAGAAACCAGAGGAACCAGGCATGGAAGGAGGTGGCAGAGACAGTGGGGGAAACTGGTAGGTTTTCGCCTGTTTGGGGATTTTATATCCAGTTTACTTCATGTTAACATAGCTAATGAAACATAGCCGGTATATTTAGCATAAAATAGCGCCATAGACATTAATCACATACATGTTAATCATCCGCTGCCACATCATAGACTATATTGCATTACATTAATGCACACAATGTCATACTCCTTTCACATTTCTTAGTTATATATATATATATATATATGCAAAAATTCATTCCTAGCATTCTATTTCCATGTAAATTACTGCTTTATTTAATTTTTATCTTTTTGCAATTTAACTGTACAATACATGTTGTGTTTTATATTAGATTTCTTGTTTTGTATATATGCACCATGACATCAAGTCAAATTCCTAGTATGTGCAAAGCTACCTGGCAATAAACCTGTTTTTGATTCTGATAAAGTGTGACATGTAAAACCTTGTATGCAATTGAAAGGGATTTGGTTTTCATTAATGGAGCAATCATTTTCTGAAATTCAAGAAATTAACTGTATTCTTTCATTTTCATTTTATTAGACGAAGTGTGCAAAAAGCGTTGGAAGTCCCTCAGGGACCGATACCGCAGGGAGAGGATCCTGGAGAAGGAAGGGAAAAGTAGCGGGGCAGGGGCTTCCGGGGGATCTAAGCCCTGGCGTCTCGCGGCAGTAATGAGCTTTTAAAGCCCTTCATGCTGGACCGTGAGACGTCCAGCAATTTCCCCCGGCAACCCCTGCCTCCACCCACCGGAGCAGAAGAAGAGGAAGACTCTATGGGTGACAGCCTGGATGACAGTCTGGAAAGCCAGCCAGAGCCAGGTAGCAGTCAGCCGGCCAGTGTGCCGGCCAGTGTGCCAGACGGTGTGCCAGACGGTGTGCCGGCCAGTGTGCCAGCATTCCGGGGGAAGGGAGATGTCCCCTTTTGAGGAGAACCTGCTGTCGGCCGTAGGCCCGATGCTGGCCATGCCACCACCACCACCAGTGGTGGAGGTGGAAGACGAGGACCTCCTTTTTTTAAGGAGTCTCTGGCCTGCAATGCAAAAGCTGAGCAGGACGAGCAGCATGAGACTGAAAATGAAGCTACAAGAGGCGGTCCTGGAGGCCACAGAAATGGACATTAATAATTAATTAATTAATTAGATACTGATACTGATCCACATTACATCTTTTTACACTCATCACTCATCACATAAATAAAAGTTATTTAAAAGTATGTTATGGCTATACTGTGTCTTGACTTGTTCATGTGGTTTGTCAGTTACAACATACCAGGAGCTTCTTGTATGTCGATATATAATGTGCTGTCTTCTGTAATTATTCAGGTGAAACCCTGATGAAAATTATGAGTGGTTTATCACTAAAAACAGGGCTGAAGGAAAAAGGTTGTTAGTTATATCATGATATCAATTCAAGAAACATGTTTATTAGGAATGGTTGATTTTAAAATGGCTCATTTGGAATATTTGCTTTTTAAAGAAAATGGGTAGCGGGGGGTGCGCAAAAAAAAAAAAGTTTTCATTTTGTATAATCATTTTGCGTAAAGATGGCACTCAAGGGCACACTAGTGGAGGTGTTCCTGGCGGGATTTGAACTCACAGCCTTCCGATCTTCAGCCCACCTCACTATCCATTAGATCAATCACTACCCTCTCAAATGGAAATATGTGTTTACATAAATGGTGACCACACTGTTTGAGACCCACTGAGAACTTAAACTAAGTTAACTATCTAAACACTCAGAGAGTCCTTTACCTCACCTGAGCTGAGGTTATCCCGAGCTTGAATGACACACAGAGACCAATCAAGGGCTTTGATTTATGATCTGTATGACAGTGGCCATGTTGGCAGGCCACATCATGTAGACAGCCAGTCACCCTGTGTGAGGCAGGCCACTTAACGAGGCGAGATCAGAGCAAGGGAGCGAGGGATCATTGTCCACAAGTTAATCGATCGCAGATGGCGTCGTGGTCACGGACGAATAAATACAAAAAAAATACAAAAAAAAATTATTAAAAAAAAGAAGAAAAAAAAGAATGGGTTGCGAAATATACTTGGGCGGCCGTTAATATACCTGGGCGGCCCGCCCAAGTATAGTCTATGTGTGGGAAACCCTGTGTGCGTGATGGCATATCAATGGTCTTCCTGCGGAGGAAGTTATGCAACACACAGGCAGCCTTCACACACAACTCCGTCACCTCGGGGCTGGTGGTGATGACACGCCTGAGCATTCTCCACTGGGTTGAGAGGATGCCAAACGCACATTCAACCACCAACCTGGCACGGCTGAGGCGGTAGTTAAATAACCTCCTTTCACAGGTGAGGTGACGTCCAGGGAATGGACGCAGAAGGTTGTCCAGCAGCGGAAATGCCTCATCTCCAACGAAGACATGGGGGAGAGGGCCCCGCCGCGCTGATCCTGCGATGACGGTGTCAGGTGGTAGCTGCAGACTGCCGTCTCGGAGGCTCTCTCCAAATGCAGAATTCCGCAGGCTCCCACTGTCGCTGCTCCTCCCAAAGCCTCCAACATCCACTACCCTGAACAGGTACTCAGCATCCACCACAGCCAGCAGTACCAAGGAGTGGGTGGACTTATAATTAAAGTAGAGGGAACCTGCATTTGCTGGAGCCTGGATAACGACGTGCTTCCCATCTATGGCACCAACACAGTTGGGAAACTCCCAGCGCTCCTGGAACCCAGCAGCGATGGCTCTCCAATCCTCCACCTGTGGTACCGGCATGCACTCCTCGACCAGGGCGGTCCAGATGGCCCCCGCAACCTCCTTGACAATGACTGCCACTGTAGAACGCCCGACCCGATAGCTGAAGGCTATCGTCGCGTACGAGTCACCAGTTGCCAGGTACCTGAGAAAAAAGATATATACATGATTACAAAATATATTTATTCAGACCCCACACACACACAGACCCCCCCCCTCCACACATTGAACACAGACACACACATTGAACACAGACACAGATTGAACACACATTGAACACAGACACACACACATTGAACAGACACACACATTGAATACAGACACACACATTGAACAGACACACACATTGAAAACAGACACACAGACACACTGAACACAGACACGCACACATTGAACAGACACACACATTGAACACAGACACACACATTGAACAGACACACACATTGAACACAGACACACACACATTGAACACAGACACACACACATTGAACAGACACACACATTGAACACAGACACACACATTGAACACAGACACACAGACACACACATTGAACACAGACAGACACACAGATCCCCACACACACATTGATCACAGACACAGACACACACGCTATGTACACAGGGGAGCAATACTGTGTTTACCTAGATATCTTAATTAATGTTACCCATCTGAACTAAATCACAGACTTCAGTCATCATTCGTGCATTCTCTCTCCTTCTATACAGAGTCAGATTAAAGAAGTAGAAATACACAAAACGTACCGTAGGCAGATGGCGAGTCGCTCGGCGGGGCCGATTGACATACGCAGATGGGTGTCCACCTTTGTAATCAGTGGGCCCACCTTTCCGAGCAACTCGTCGAACACCTCCTTGCTCATCCTGAATTACCTCTGAAAAAGGCGGTCATCGAGACGGAGCTCCTGGACGAGAAGGTGGTATTCCCCCCTTTGTAGACGCTTTCGGAGTATCGGGTGTACCCAGAAGCGACGCACACTACACGGCCTCATGCGAGACAATGTATACACTAAATGCAACCTTGCACACACACGAGTTACCCTGCTTACCCTTGCTACAACACCGGCATCCATTTTAGCAATAGTGGAGAAGAACCGGGGTTTTTCACTTTGTATGTCCGGGGCGGGAGATTCACATGGAGATTCTGATTGGTTGTTGGTCGCGGGGCTCGAAGAAACGCCCCAAGCGTAAATATTGGGGCGTTGGAAGCGAATTTTACGCTTGTAGTGTGGCCGGCCCGTTAAAGATCAGACTGTTGCTCTCGCTGCAGCTCTCTCGTTTGCGCTCCTTCATTTTTTGTTTTCGATTCTGGCAAAAACCTCCCAGGTGGGCGGGACTTTCAGGGGTGCATCCCCATTGGCTACTCATTTGTTGAGTGACAGCCCAGTCCTCCGGCGATTGAACAGTGCAGGTGTGGTAGCTGAGCATGGAAAGAAGACCCCCAGAAGAACCAGCATTTCAATTATTATAATAATACAACTGAAAATATATGTAAGTATTGATCATTTGTATTGTTTGTGCTGTACTATACGGTCTATTTATTTATTGTGTTAAGTGAGAAGTAAAGAAAAGCTGTGCTATGAAAGTTAGCTTTTGCTAACTTTAGATCCATAACAATGCAAGCTTGTAGCCTAACGGGCCGGCCACACTACAAGCGTAAAATTCGCTTCCAACGCCCCAATATTTATGCTTGGGGCGTTTCTTCGAGCCCCGCGACCAACAACCAATCAGAATCTCCATGTGAATCTCCCGCCCCGGACATACAAAGTGAAAAACCCCGGTTCTTCTCCACTATTGCTAAAATGGATGCCGGTGTTGTAGCAAGGGTAAGCAGAGTAACTCGTGTGTGTGCAAGGTTGCATTTAGTGTATACATTGTCTCGCATGAGGCCGTGTAGTGTGCGTCGCTTCTGGGTACACCCGATACTCCGAAAGCGTCTACAAAGGGGGGAATACCACCTTCTCGTCCAGGAGCTCCGTCTCGATGACCGCCTTTTTCAGAGGTACTTCAGGATGAGCAAGGAGGTGTTCGACGAGTTGCTCGGAAAGGTGGGCCCACTGATTACAAAGGTGGACATCCATCTGCGTATGTCAATCGGCCCCGCCGAGCGACTCGCCATCTGCCTACGGTACGTTTTGTGTATTTCTACTTCTTTAATCTGACTCTGTATAGAAGGAGAGAGAATGCACGAATGATGACTGAAGTCTGTGATTTAGTTCAGATGGGTAACATTAATTAAGATATCTAGGTAAACACAGTATTGCTCCCCTGTGTACATGGCGTGTGTGTCTGTGTCTGTGATCAATGTGTGTGTGGGGATCTGTGTGTCTGTCTGTGTTCAATGTGTGTGTCTGTGTTCAATGTGTGTGTCTGTGTTCAATGTGTGTGTCTGTTCAATGTGTGTGTCTGTGTTCAATGTGTGTGTGTCTGTGTTCAATGTGTGTGTCTGTTCAATGTGTGTGTGTCTGTGTTCAATGTGTGTGTCTGTTCAATGTGTGTCTGTGTTCAATGTGTGGAGGGGGGGATCTGTGGTCTGTGTGTGTGTGGGGTCTGAATAAATATATTTTGTAATCATGTATATATCTTTTTTTCTCAGGTACCTGGCAACTGGTGACTCGTACGCGACGATAGCCTTCAGCTATCGGGTCGGGCGTTCTACAGTGGCAGTCATTGTCAAGGAGGTTGCGGGGGCCATCTGGACCGCCCTGGTCGAGGAGTGCATGCCGGTACCACAGGTGGAGGATTGGAGAGCCATCGCTGCTGGGTTCCAGGAGCGCTGGGAGTTTCCCCAACTGTGTTGGTGCCATAGATGGGAAGCACGTCGTTATCCAGGCTCCAGCAAATGCAGGTTCCCTCTACTTTAATTATAAGTCCACCCACTCCTTGGTACTGCTGGCTGTGGTGGATGCTGAGTACCTGTTCAGGGTAGTGGATGTTGGAGGCTTTGGGAGGAGCAGCGACAGTGGGAGCCTGCGGAATTCTGCATTTGGAGAGAGCCTCCGAGACGGCAGTCTGCAGCTACCACCTGACACCGTCATCGCAGGATCAGAGCGGCGGGGCCCTCTCCCCCATGTCTTCGTTGGAGATGAGGCATTTCCGCTGCTGGACAACCTTCTGCGTCCATTCCCTGGACGTCACCTCACCCGTGAAAGGAGGTTATTTAACTACCGCCTCAGCCGTGCCAGGTTGGTGGTTGAATGTGCGTTTGGCATCCTCTCAACCCAGTGGAGAATGCTCAGGCGTGTCATCACCACCAGCCCCGAGGTGACGGAGTTGTGTGTGAAGGCTGCCTGTGTGTTGCATAACTTCCTCCGCAGGAAGACCATTGATATGCCATCACGCACACCTATCGCAAGGTCCACGGATGAAGTTACTCCAACCCTGTGTGATGCACCGAGGATGGGCTCCAACAATGCCACACGGCGATCCATCCAACAGCGGGAGACCTTCTGCTCCTACTTCAACGAGGAGGGGGCAGTGCGATGGCAGGCAAATGTGGTGTAGGCCCATATTTGTCTCCAAACCAAAAAGCTCTTTTAAGAGCTACCCATTTTCTTTAAAAAGCAAATATTCCAAATGAGCCATTTTAAAATCAACCATTCCTAATAAACATGTTTCTTGAATTGATATCATGATATAACTAACAACCTTTTTCCTTCAGCCCTGTTTTTAGTGATAAACCACTCATAATTTTCATCAGGGTTTCACCTGAATAATTACAGAAGACAGCACATTATATATCGACATACAAGAAGCTCCTGGTATGTTGTAACTGACAAACCACATGAACAAGTCAAGACACAGTATAGCCATAACATACTTTTAAATAACTTTTATTTATGTGATGTTGTGTGTGATGAGTGATGAGTGTAAAAAGATGTAATGTGGATCAGTATCAGTATCTAATTAATTAATTAATTATTAATGTCCATTTCTGTGGCCTCCAGGACCGCCTCTTGTAGCTTCATTTTCAGTCTCATGCTGCTCGTCCTGCTCAGCTTTTGCATTGCAGGCCAGAGACTCCTTAAAAAAAGGAGGTCCTCGTCTTCCACCTCCACCACTGGTGGTGGTGGTGGTGGTGGCATGGCCAGCATCGGGCCTACGGCCGACAGCAGGTTCTCCTCAAAAGGGGACATCTCCCTTCCCCTGCTCTTCTTCCCCCGGAATGCTGGCACACTGGCCGGCACACCGTCTGGCACACTGGCCGGCACACTGGCCGGCACACTGGCCGGCACACTGGCCGGCTGACTGCTACCTGGCTCTGGCTGGCTTTCCAGACTGTCATCCAGGCTGTCACCCATAGAGTCTTCCTCTTCTTCTGCTCCGGTGGGTGGAGGCAGGGGTTGCCGGGGGAAATTGCTGGACGTCTCACGGTCCAGCATGAAGGGCTTTAAAAAGCTCATTACTGCCGCGAGACGCCAGGGCTTAGATCCCCCGGAAGCCCCTGCCCCGCTACTTTTCCCTTCCTTCTCCAGGATCCTCTCCCTGCGGTATCGGTCCCTGAGGGACTTCCAACGCTTTTTGCACACTTCGTCTAATAAAATGAAAATGAAAGAATACAGTTAATTTCTTGAATTTCAGAAAATGATTGCTCCATTAATGAAAACCAAATCCCTTTCAATTGCATACAAGGTTTTACATGTCACACTTTATCAGAATCAAAAACAGGTTTATTGCCAGGTAGCTTTGCACATACTAGGAATTTGACTTGATGTCATGGTGCATATATACAAAACAAGAAATCTAATATAAAACACAACATGTATTGTACAGTTAAATTGCAAAAAGATAAAAATTAAATAAAGCAGTAATTTACATGGAAATAGAATGCTAGGAATGAATTTTTGCATATATATATATATAACTAAGAAATGTGAAAGGAGTATGACATTGTGTGCATTAATGTAATGCAATATAGTCTATGATGTGGCAGCGGATGATTAACATGAATGTGATTAATGTCTATGGCGCTATTTTATGCTAAATATACCGGCTATGTTTCATTAGCTATGTTAACATGAAGTAAACTGGATATAAAATCCCCAAACAGGCGAAAACCTACCAGTTTCCCCCACTGTCTCTGCCACCTCCTTCCATGCCTGGTTCCTCTGGTTTCTATCCCGGTAGGTGAACAGGGTCACATCAAATAATACAGGGTGATTCGCTACCGCTACGATTATAACCTCGTCCATTTTATTTCAAATATAGACATGAACGGCGGGATATCTCAGGATATCTCTCCCAGCGTATGCGCGGTTTTTGATTGGCTACGGCTTGAGCTGTCAGATTTTCTGAAACGGGATTTGATTGGCTTACGCTCACTTGTCAGGAACCGAGAGAGCGTTTCGTGCGTAAAAAGTTCAACATTGTTCAACTTTTTACGCGCGAGACGCTCTCAAAGTTACGCTTGCCTTCCCGTGATGCAGTTCGGCGAAAACGTGAGCGGACGTGACGTCACCCCATTCAAAGTGAATGGGCAGACGCGCTAGAGGCGTAATTTTACGCCTGAAACGCTTGTAGTGTGGAGGGCCCGTAACAGCAGGGACAGTTAGCTACAAAGCGAGCAGTGAGTGAGCGTTCAGACACCGGCAGACACACTCAACCAGAATCGTGTGCCTGACTCTAACAGGCTTTCATCATTCTGTTTAGATATGCAAGTATAAGCCATGATAGCTTATTTTATTGACTCGCTAATTTTATATTACATTACATGTCATTTGTTAGATGCTTTTATCCAAAGCGACTTACATACATGCAGTACTGTGGACAATCCCCACAGGAGCAATTTGGGGTGAAGTGTCTTGCCCAGGGACACAACGACATGCTGACTGCAGTGGGACTCGAAGTCCAGCACACTATCCACTGAGCTACAGCCTCCCCTGATATGAAAATCAATGGAGGCTGAGTTTACTACTTCTCTTTGTATGAAAACCTAAACGTCCACCGTTTTATTTGTTAACTTCATATTTTTTCCCACTTCCTCTGATGGGACAGCACGGAGGGGGGGGGGGGGAAGACCTGCACCATCTTCATCCACGCTGGCGTTGCTGTTATCACTTGCTCAGTGTCATTTCATTTAACCAAATGTCTTTACATTTAATAGATTTT